ATTCTCTGAGGTTTTAAGAGAAGAAAAAAGGTCACCTCAGCTGTGTAACCGATAGCATGGTTGTGGGATGAATGAAGGTGACAGGTGACAATCTTGGAGGAAGAAACAATTTAGTGGGCTGCTTTGGTGGTGTTAGGGGCCCTCTAGTGGTGAACAGGAGAAGATTCCTTCTGTGACGTACTCCATATAAAAAAGTAGAGGAAGAATTATAAATCTGAATGTGTTCATTAATATTAATATCATATGTAGCTAAATAATTGTTAAATATTTCTGAGATTGTATATAGTGTTGTCAAGGGCTACAAGATAAACCTTGTAACCCAATCTGACTTTCAATAATCTGGACTACTAAAATACATGGAGAGCAAAGTGGGGAGAGGAACTGCAGTCGGACCAGTGCCTAAGGGGTTCATGTTCATCTGCATTTATATAGCGCATAAATACAGACTGACCATTTACAAACCTCTTTATATCACTCTAGTACGGTGTTAAAATATAAAGTGCAAACTCTAAATTCATGTTATTGTAACAGTCTCAGATAATCTGATACTTTACCATCAATTTGTAGTTCACCAGACCCAGGTAAGGAAAAAGGATTGAAGAAACTGTGATGATTTCAAGTTACATGAAGGTTGTCATGATGTCACTTCTGTTTTTTAGAACTTGATGAACCATGGAGGGAAATACAATGGGGCAATCAGTAAGTATTTAAAAACATGGCATGAAACCCACATCACACTGTACCTCCCAATGTGGAGCTGTAAGAATGAGATGAGGGCTGTTCAATACAGTCCTGGAGAGCTGCTGTGTTCGTATGTCCCTGAAGAACTGATTGAAGGTGTTCAGTTAAGAACAATAATGAGTATAAAATTGTTAATAGCCGAGCTGGAAAGAAAAACTACATTATTCTTTTACCTGTCTCATACCTCCTGACACCCATAGTGTAAAACACAGGTTCCATAATGCCTGGTAAGAAGTCATGGTTGTCAGTAATTGGAGTAAGAGGCCATGTATATAAATATATTTTTCATAATAAAAATCTCAAATAAAATTGCTTCCTAATTGTGTGTTCCTGAATTTAGCATTATAAAGAAATATAAATAATTTCAATGTGGATTAAAAAAGGCTCAATGTGTTTACAATATGCTAAAATTATAGAAAAATGTTCCTTATATACAGTTTATCTGGCAGAGTAATGTAGCTCTCTAAAACTATGTGGATGTAAAACAGAATTAAAATATAAAAGTAATGTAAAACATTTGGATCTAAACATGAAAGAAGCATGTTGCACTCACAAGATATAATAATAAACTATTTATTTACTGTACCCAACATGGTCATTTTGTTTTGTAAAATAGACCTTCTTTCTTTTTTTTATTAATTTAATGTTTAACATTCTGTAACACAGTAGAAAATTAATAAAAGTCTAAACGCTATACAACTTACATTCTATCATTGGAAAATGTTTGTCTCAAGGGGCTCAGTATTGAGTGGAATTCAAAACCAGGCATTTTCTGGCAACAGTCCAAATGCTTCCACATACCATGTTAAGCTTTCAGTGCTCCACCTGGCGGTTTTACAAAACAGTGCTATCCTACAACACAATATAAAAAAGTGTGGTGTGCTATGTTGCACTGAGGTGTGTTCACTGCAAATTGCTGCATTATCCTGTGTGCATTCTGAATGGCTGGATCTGTATATATTAACAGAGATGTTCTTAGTTATGTAGCAAAAGCAAAAAATAAAATGTGAACAGGAAGGTTTTATAAAGCATAAACCTTGGTCTGAAAATGATTAAGTAGAGTTAAGTAGTGACCTCTACTTACAATAGTAATATCACAGGAAATTGTAAATACAAAATTTAGATATTTACTATTATTTTATGTAAGCCACTCCATCAAGCTATTTTTGACAATAAGTATCTGCCCGCAGAACAGTGTAGAGAACCAGTTATACACCCTTCTAGGATGAATTATTTTTCTTTATTGTGTGATGTGTTCTTTCTTATTTACAGGGAGAAAGAAAAACTTATGAAAGAAATAAGGACCTTAACACCAAGATACACAGAAGCAAAAGAATTAAGAATCATGATGGCTGGACAGATCTTTGCTGGAACGTCCAGTTACATCAATACAATTGATTCTGCGTTACAAGGTCATTTGTCAAGCCGGGCTTTGGCATGTGTAGATGAACACCGTGTTACCAAGAAGGTTAGTAGCCATCTAGAGGGTGTGTTGAATGGAATAATTTGGAATATTCAAATTCTATAGAAATTATTTGCAATGGTGATAAACATACAGGGTAATTTACTTATGATAGTATATAGCAAACTCTACAGTGACTTGGCACTATTGATGTCTGGATTATTCCTGACTGTTAATGTCATTGTGACCCCTAAATGCAGGAACTGCTTTTTTTGTGTCGATGTAGCAGTTATGAGGATGCTAGGACCCTTTTTTTCTTGCAACAGGATCTTTTTTCTTTTTTTCAGTGCACTCATGGACAGTTATCCTTATGTGCATAATATCCCAGTTATTTACAGTATTTCAGTCTTCCCTCCACATAAAAAGTATTCCTAAAGCTAAAACAATTTCTATGATTGCCTACTCAACATACAGAACAGATGATACAACTAGTATCAAGTA